CAGCCCCCCCTTGTGGCGGGCTTGTTTTCCACCACCACCACCAGAAGTAGGAGGGGAGGGGTTCCTTCTCCGCCTCCTCCTCCTCCTCCTCCTTCCCCCCATCCAACTTATGGTGGTGGTGAAAAACAAGCCCATCCTCCTGTTCCCAGCGACGGCAGATTTGTGTCGTAACGACGTCGGCGCTCGTCTGACACCGCGTACACCGTTCAGCCTTGAACGATCAAGACATCCCGGTAGCGCAGATCGCCCAACGTCGGAAAAGGATTGGCCAATTCGGCTTTCAAAGCTTCGACGCCTGCGCTGAGGTCGCAGAGGAACCGAGGATGCCCCCCAGAAGGCTGAAGACGGCCCACAAAACGCCCCAAGGTCCCGATACGTCACAAAACGGCCCCTGCAGGAGCTGATTCGGCCGTTTCGGAAACTTGTAACAATCTATTTTGGAATAACTGCCGGACCGCAGAACTCCCACAATCGTCCCGACAACACCTCGAGGAACCAGCAGAAGTCAATCACTGCGGGGCAAGTTCTGCAACGACAATCAGCCGCCACAGCGTTGTGTCCCTGCTCTGACAAATAGGGGTAAAGCTGGTATCTTGCTCGCGTGGTAAAAGCCCGCAGGAGGTTGCCGCGGGAGCCACGATTACCGACCCCGCTGGCGGCTGCCAAGCATGCTTCGCCTCGAACTCGGCTTGCCCTAAGCTCGGCCTTGGCGTGATTTGGCTGTACCTCCTCGTTACACGGTCTCATAGGTGCTGCGTCTAGCCTCAGCCTCACCCATTTCAGCGGTATTCGTCTTAGTCTCGCCGTGCTCTACCGATGTGAGGCTTCGCACAATACAAGTAGCTGGGCCCAGGCTAACTCTGCTTAGCTACGCACCCGCCCAGATCAATCAGTTGTCCCACTTCTGCTTCGGAGAAAGCGTGCCTTGTGTAGGACGAGACTTGCAGTAACCAGATTCGACGGCAGGGGCATGCACTTGAGCTTGAGATCACCCTGGGCTGGCAATATGCTGAATACGAACAAATTGCTGGGTCCCTGTCCTGCCCTGGCTTAGAGTAGGCTAGCTTGCCGCAGGATGCCTGGCCGAGCTGTAGCTCACCTGCTGGTGGGGCCCGACTGAGCCCAGCTTAGACTGGCTTCACGCTGGATGCGTGCAGACTGAAACCCAGATGCTCGTTTTGGCTGGGTGATGGTTAGTGTTCTGTTTGGTTGTGGTGTAGCGGCGCCGTTTGCTCACTGTAACCCTGTCGCTGCGCAGCGAACAACAAGATTAAGCTTCTCCTAAATTTCATGTGCTTACCGTGACCCTGCGCCGATGATGTGTTGCCAAACCATTATGAGGTGCTGGGCTCTCATTTTTGAATGCGCAGCGACGTGTTCCATCACCTTCTCCTCCTCCTCCTCCTCCACCTCCTCCTCTTCATCGTCATCATCATCATCATCATCAGCAGCAGCATCATCATTAGCATCATCGTCAACAGCATCAGCATCAGCATCAGCAGCATCACCATCATATTCATCAGCAGCATCATCAGCATCCTCATCCTGTTCCTCAGATCAGCCGCATCAGCATCATCGTCAACAGCATCAGCAGCATCAGCATCAGCATCATCAGCAGCAGTATCATCAGCAGCAACAGCAGCATCAGCATCAGCATCAGCATAGTCATCAGCATCTTCATCAGCAGCATCAACATCATCAGCATCAGCATCATCATGAACATCATCATCAGCATCATCAGCATCAGCATCAGCAGCATCTTCAGCTGCATCAGCATCATTTTCCCCATCATCAGAGTCATCATCATCATCATCATCATCATCATCATCATCATCATCATCATCATCATCACCATCACCATCATCATCATCATCATCATCATCATCATCATCATCATCATCATCATCATCATCATCATCATCATCATCCTTATCATCAGCATCAGTACCAGCATCATCATCAGTATCACCATACTCAGCATCATAAGTATCATCACCAGCATCATCATCATCATCATCAGCAGCAGCATCATCGTCGTCATCAGCACCAGCATCGTCATCAGCATCATCGTCCTCCGCCTCCTCCTCCTCCACCCCTCCTCTCCACCCCCTCCTCCTCCTCCCTCCTCCCTCCTCCTCCTCCTCCTCCTTACTCCTCCTCCTCCTCCTCCTCCTCCTCCTCCTCCTCCTCCTCCTCCTCCTCCTCCCCCTCCCTCCTCCCATCCGTGGCGCCACCCCATCAATTTCGGCACACCCCTCGCACGCTTCGTGGCCCCATAGGAGCTCCACCTAAGGCCCCAGAGGCAGGGTTCGCGTGGCGCCGTCCCGTCCACTTTGGCACATCTCTAACACATTTCGTTGCCCCATAGGGAGCTCCACCGAAGGCCCCAGCGGCAGGGTTCGCATGGCGCAGCGCACCCCTCAAACGCTTCGTGGCCCCTTAGGGAGCTCCACCGCAGGCCCAAGTGGCAGAGTTCGCATGGCGACGCCCTACCCAATTCGGCACACCCCTCACACGTTTCGTGGCCAAATGAGGAGCTCCACCGAAGGTCCCGGTGGCAAGGGTCGCATGGCTCCGCCCCGCCAACTTCGGCACACATATTACACGTTTCGTAGCCACATGGGGAGCTCCACCGAAGGTCCCAGCGGCTGGGTTCGCATGGCGCCGCCCCACCAAAATCAGCACAGCGTTCTATCTTATCGGCACCACAATCCTTTTGCTGGCCCCCTCCTCCCTCGTCTCACATGCCTAACAGTACTCGCAACTACATGAGGTGTTGTCATTTGCCCGGTCAACTTTTTGTTATTATTCGGATGAGGTCGGGTCGAACCGACATGTGCGTAAATCGGATCGGCTGCCCCCGGATGCACAACTTCGCCATTGAAGCATCGGCCCGCATCGGATCGTCGGAATATCAGAACCGAATCGGATCGGGACGGCCAGAATCGATATCGAATCGGATCGAGCAGATAGATCTAGACCTTGCGGGAGAATGGGAGAGGGAGGAAAATGAGAAGAGGAGGGGAAGGAGCCAGGAACTCTCTACGGTTACACTTGTGTGTTCCTCGTGTTGTCCTGCCTTTGAACGCAATCCTGTTCAGCGCAAGCCTCGCGCCCAGGACCAGCTCTCAGATCCGCGAAGGATTGGCACAACCTTAGGGGAACAAAAAATGGCATAGGCATAAAAACTCGGAGGTCCGCGCGGATTTCTCGGATCGGCGCTGGACCCCCCTCCCTGGCGCGCGGAGCGCGCCAGGGGCGGCGCCGGACGCGCCGCTGGAGGGCCCCAGCGCCGATCCGAGGAATCCGCGCGGACCTCCGAGTTTTTATGTTTATGTCACTTTCTGTTCCCCTACACCTGTGCCAACGCGCTGCGGGTGTTAGCTACGACTCCCCCCGTCCCATAGAGTCAGCCGAACTCGTCCCGTAACATCTGGAGGGCGACTGCTCGCACGGTCGATCGCACAGGAGCGAACTGCTGGATAGTGGGAGGCGTCGAACGCGTAGGCTTAAGTTGGGCCTGTCCCCCTACTTGGGGATTTTGGGCGAAAAATTAAACATACTCGCAAAATACTCCCCAAATGCCCAAAAATAATCAAAAAATAGTCCCCATACTATTTTTTTACTATTTTTGAAGATTCCCCCTGTAGAGGGACAGCCCCGACTTAAGCGTAGGTATCAGATCGCTTTTGCGATGCCTGTGAAGTGTACGGCTGGCGTCGCAAAGATAGCGTGCAGCACTGATCTCCGAAAAGCACGCTATCCCAAAACATTGGGCTTCCTCTGTGCACGATACCCCTGTGAAGCGACCCCTGCGAGGGATCCCTGTTTTTTGGAGGAGTAAGAGATGGGAGCGGACAGAGCTAGTAATATACACCTTGTGGTCGACAACAGCGGGAACGGACAAATCCTGCTCCACACTGGAAGTGAGACGGAAACGCAAGGGGGCCACCTGTGACAAATATTGCCCGGGCGAGCGGCGGAGGAGGAGGAGGAGGTGAAGGATGGGGAACCGGAGGGAGGGCAAACAAGGAGCTGGAATCATTGCCAGACCGCCTGTCAGCCTGGGCGTCCACATGCCTGGACCGTGCGACCGCCGAAAAACCGCTTACACAGCGAGCTGTCCCCCTGCCAAAGCCTCTTCGGTGCACGCAATCCCCAAAGCGGGGGAATGGGGTGCGATACACGGGCCGGCGGCGCCGCATCGCACGCTGCCTTGGCAGCGCCAACCATCAGCGCGTTCGAAGGCCGCTACCCGCGTGGTGGCGCCGCAGCTGCGGGGCGGCACGAGGCCCAGCCAGGCACCCGGGCAAGGCGCACCCCAAGCGAGAGGAGGAGCGACAGCCGACGGTCGCAGTCACCAATGCCTCCCTCCCTCTTGCCACGACGACGACGAGGATTAACTAGGATCAGGACGACGACGACGCTGACGACGACGAGGACAACGATCCAGAGGAGAAAACGGTATACCGACACTGCTGCCCTTCCCTCGTTTTCGCCTTTTTGGGCCGTCTGGGAGGCCCTCGTCGACACGACTGGATTCGCCTCGAAATTCTGGTCAGAACGCGACCTGGAAGAGGTCCGGGAAGTACCCATAGGTCGGAAGAAGTATGTAGAAAAATGAAGGAGGAAGGCTTTGAAAATAGACTCGGTTCCGTCCGCCCCCTAAGACGGACGGAAAAAAGTTGAAGCCACTCGATCATTAAAGTAGGAAGGCGCTTAAAATCCCAAAACAAATGCCTACTTTCAACGACCGATGGGTAGCGGTATCGGTTTCTTCTGGTTTTCCAGAGGACGACGACGTGGATGGCGACAATCAATGACGCATCGCCGAGACTCTGTTCCGCATCGTGTGGAAACGCTGCACAGGTAGCGGTAGCACCATCAGATCACACAACACCGCATCTTCGGCAAGCCAACTGTAGGCTCCAAGGGTGGACAATTCAACCAACAATAGCCAATCGATGATCGTCCAATCGGAGGAGAGCAAGAGAGCATGCGTTGGCTGGAGGTCGCCTTCTCGAACTTGTCGTTCGCTCCTGCCACGTCGAACTCCTCGCAACGAGGTCTCTCGGAAATCTCTCCTCGCCTTTCTTTACGCCTGGGACCTGCCCTGCAAAGTGGAATGCAAAACGTCCTCCCAAGAGAAGTCTGGCTCGGCAGGGCAGACGGCAAGCAAGGCAGAAGAGTAAGTGACCCAGGGAGGATTGGAGAGGGATATAGAAAGGAACGTGAGCAGAGAGACAGACAGAGAGAAGGGGAAGAGGGAAAGAGGCAGGGGAGGGAGCAGGGGAGGGGCGGAGACAGCAGACAGCCACGAGGGCGAGGACGGCGGAGGCGGCGAGAGCGGAACGTGCGCAAGCTCTCCTGACGACGTCTCGCCGCCCACAGTGAGGCCAGAGCAGATGGGGTCGGAGGATCGCACCTCATCGCCGATACGTCGCCGATGCATCGGCGACGTCGAGACGGGAAACATTGGGCTCCTGATCGCTCCGCATCGCCGGTGCAGCGGCGATGCGAAGCGATCCTGCGACCCGTTCTTCTCCGACGCTATTCAAGGCGCAGCCGCCACTCCGGGCTCCTCCGCACACTCTCTCTTGACCGCCGCGTTCTCCTCAGGCTGGAGCTCGCCGACCTGGCGGCGGCAGGCGCGGGCAGCTCGCCCGAAGATGCGGGGGAGTTCGGAGCCATGCCACGCTCGGGAACGACGTCTTCACTGGGCATGTAGCGTGGTGCACATTCCCGAGACTCTCCTCCGACACCTGCCGTGCCCAACCCGTGCACACTTGAGCGACGAAAACAAAAAATGGGTCTTACGCACGATGGCATAGCGACCTTACGAGATGGCTTGCGCGGGCCATCAGTGCAGCACACTACATGGAAGCCAAGGGCGGCGACACGCCATCTTACGCGAGTAGCTTACGCACGAATGTCCCCCAGCTTGTCTGCGTCGCTTAGCCTGCTTTTCCTGAACATGATCGGCTTCTGCACATCTTCGATGTCTGCATCCTCCTTGGCGTTCCTGGAACTCGCCTGTTGTTGTTGTGCGTTCGCGGTCTCTCCTTGGCGCCGCGCGACTATCTCCTCCTGTTTCTCCTCCTGACCCCGCCTCCACTTCAGGCCGCAGCAGCTGCGCTGCTGTTCTGCCGTTGTTTGCCCTGCTACGCTTCCCGCGCTACTTGTGCCGACTGTTTTTGGGCTCCCTTCACGCGGATCGTGCTTCACTGGCGGCTCCACACGGCTCCGATGGGCGCGAAAGTAAACATCTCCTAGATCGTCTTGCCACGCCTCTCATACAGACAGTGTCGAACAGAAAGTCACACCTACGGCCCCAGTGAGAAAGTTCGTAGGCCGCCGCCCTGCACACTTTGACACTCCTCACACGGCCCGGAGAGCTGTACTTATGGCCCCAGATACCAGATTCGCACGCCACCTTCGTGTGAATCTCGGCACACCGTCACACGGCTCGTGCCCAACAGGGGCCACCACCTGCGACCCCCAAAGCAAGATTCGCATGCTGCCGTCATGCACACTCCAGCACACCCATCATTCGGTTCGCACCCAACAGAGAGCCCCGACTGCGGCGGCACCTACGGCCCCAGAAACAGGATTCGCATGCCGCCGCCACGGTCGGCACACACACACCTCTCACACGATTCGTCCCGATAGTTGAATCCGCCCAATACCCCAGAAAAAAGGGGTTCGCATGCCGCCGCCCTGCGCATTTCAGCACACCACTCAAGCGGATCGTGCCCTCCCCCTCACACACACACACACACGGGTCGCATGTCGCCGCGCCCCAACCAGCCCCGCACACACACACACACACACACACACACACACACACAACACAACACAACACAACACAACACAACACAACACAACACAACACAACACAACACAACACAACACAACACAACACAACACAACACAACACAACACAACACAACACAACACACCACACCACAACACAACACAACACAACACAACACAACACAACACAACACAACACAACACAACACAACACAACACAACACAACACAACACAACACAACACAACACACACACACACACACACACACACACACACACACACACACACACAACACACACACACACACACACACACAATTACGCTACCGAGGAACCCCACATACTTATATTATGGCTGGAGTGGTGATAGCTGAAAAGAAGCATGTGAGAATGATGTTGGTGGCCGTTCCCTGCGCGCCCCCTCTGATGTCGAGAAAATGACACGCCTGCTGTGCCGTGCGAGCCTGCAACGGATAGAGACCGCACCCCACGCGCACCCCCCACTGGTGTCGACCACGCCTGCCGCGCCCTGCACGCCTGAAACGCATAGAGACCGCACCCCCTGTGCACCCCCTCTGGTGTCGAGAATTCCCACGCCTGCCATGCCCTGCGCACCTGCAACGCATAGAGACCGCACCCCCTGCGCACCCTCCTGATGGCGAGAAAATGCCGCGCCTGCCGTGCCCTGCGCGCCTGCAACGCATAGAGACCGCACCCCCTGTTCACCCCCTCTGGTGTCGAGAATTCCCACGCCTGCCGCGCCCTGCGCGCCTGCAACGCATAGAGACCGCACCCCCTGCGCACCCTCCTGGTGTCGAGAAAATGCCGCGCCTGCCGTGCCCTGCGCGCCTGCAACGCATAGAGACCGCACCCCCTGTGCACCCCCTCTGGTGTCGAGAATTCCCACGCCTGCCGCGCCCTGCGCGCCTGCAGCGCATAGAGACCGCACCCCCTGCGCACCCTCCTGGTGTCGAGAAAATGCCGCGCCTGCCGTGCCCTGCGCGCTTGCAACGCATAGAGACCGCACCCCCTGTGCACCCCCTCTGGTGTCGAGAATTCCCACGCTTGCCGCGCCCTGCGCGCCTGCAGCGCATAGAGACCGCACCCCGTGCGCACCCTCCTGGTGTCGAGAAAATGCCGCGCCTGCCGTGCCCGCGCCTGCAACGCATAGAGACCGCACCCCCTGTGCACCCCCTCTGGTGTCGAGAAGATTCCACGCCTGCCGTGCCCTGCGCGCCTGCAACGCATAGAGACCGCACCCGATGTGCACCCCCTCTGGTGTCGAGAATTCCCACGCCTGCCGCGCCCTGCGCGCCTGCAACGCATAGAGACCGCACCCGCTGCGCACCCTCCTGGTGTCGAGAAAATGCCGCGCCTGCCGTGCCCTGCGCGCCTGCAACGCATAGAGACCGCACCCCCTGTTCACCCCCTCTGGTGTCGAGAATTCCCACGCCTGCCGCGCCCTGCGCCTGCAACGCATAGAGACCGCACCCCCTGCGCACCCTCCTGGTGTCGAGAAAATGCCGCGCCTGCCGTGCCCTGCGCGCCTGCAACGCATAGAGACCGCACCCCCTGTGCACCCCCTCTGGTGTCGAGAAAGTGCCACGCTTGCCGCGCCCTGCGCGCCTGCAGCGCATAGAGACCGCACCCCGTGCGCACCCTCCTGGTGTCGAGATAGTGCCGCGCCTGCCGTGCCCTGCGCGCCTGCAACGCATAGAGACCGCACCCCCTGTGCTCCCCGTCTGGTGTCGAGAAAGTACCACGCCTGCCGTGCCCTGCGCGCCTGCAACGCATAGAGACCGCACCCCCTGCGCACCCTCCTGGTGTCGAGAAAGTGCCGCGCCTGCCGTGTCCTGCGCGCCTGCAACGCATAGACCGCACCCGATGTGCACCCCCTCCGGTGGCAGTGCTGTGAGGAGGAGGCGAAGTGTGAGGTGAGACGCGGGTGCGACGCGCTAGGTGTGAGGTGAGACGCGGGTGCGCCGCGGCAAAGAAGAAAACCAAAACCCCACGAAACATGTGGGGAAAAACCAAAACCCCACGAAGCAACGCATAGAGACCGCACCCCCTGCGCACCCCCTCTGGTGTCGAGAATTCCCACGCCTGCCGTGCCCTGCGCGCCTGCAACGCATAGAGACCGCACCCTCTGCGCACCCTCCTGGTGTCGAGAAAGTGCCGCGCCTGCCGTGCCCTGCGCGCCTGCAATGCATAGAGACCGCACCCCATGTGCATCCCTCTGGTGTCGAGAATTCCCACGCCTGCCGTGCCCTGCGCGCCTGCAACGCATAGAGACCGCACCCTCTGCGCACCCTGAGAAAATGCCGCGCCTGCCGTGCCCTGCGCGCCTGCAACGCATAGAGACCGCGGAAGACATTGCCACGCCTGCCGCACCCTGCATTCCTGCGTGCGGCCGCGGTGAGGGACCACCCCCTGCGCACCCCCTAAGCTCAGCTGTGCTGTGCTGAGCTGGGCTGAGCTATGCTGTGCTGTGCTGTGCTGCGCTGTGCTCTGCTGAGATGAGCTGAGCTGTGCTGTGCTGAGCTGTGCCGTGCTGAGCTGAGCTGAGCTAAGCTGAGATGTGCTGAGCAGTGCTGTGAGGAGGAGAGGAAGAGTGAGGTGTGTGTGGGAGTGTCGCGGGTGCGGCGCGGCAAGGAAGAAAACCATAACCCCACGAAACATGTGGGGAAAAACACACACACACAGATACACACACACACACACACACAAACACACACAGACACAGACACACACACACACACACACACACACACATCCTACACGAAACGTGCCCCACAAGGAGCACCACCCACGGCCCAACAGACATGGTTCGCACGTCGCCGACCCGCCCACGTCGCCAGCCTCACACACAACCATGTTTCACACGCGGTTGAATCGTAACCACGGACGCAAAACAATCACACACGCACGCGGACACATACACAAAAATACACACACACACACACACACACACACACACACACACACACACGTACTGTTTGGCGGTCGCGGCCTCCCGCGCAGCGCCGAAGCAGAGAATGTCACTGGACGGACAAGCGCGCGCGGCGGGCCGCTACACACACGCACACACACACACACACGCGCATACTCACAGACATTTACTTTTTGCGTCGCAGCGCGGCAATCCGCACGCGCGTCCAGGCAACCCTGGCTACGATATTGCGAATGATCCAGCGTGCAAGGGGGGAGAAGACGAAGGACGGCCGCGGAGAAGCGGAGACGAAAAAGGGGAGGCGTACTCACGCGGCGAGGCCGCAGCGGGGCGCGCAGGGCGGCCGAGCCGGTGCGCAGCCCCTGGCACCGGGCGCGGGGCGGCATCGCGGGCGCAATCAGGGGAGGGACCAGCGGTTGCAGCACAAGGCGAAGCCCAGAAACGCGGGAGGTGCCTGAGCTGCAGGGCCAACAGCGGCCCAACCCGCCAGAGCGGGAGGCGGTGCAGCGGCTGCGGGGGCTGCGGGTAAGCTGCTGCGGCGGACCAGGAGTTGGGTGGCTCGCCAGGCGGGCGACGCAGCGCTGCGGAGGCGGAGCGCGAGCGCAGCCTGGGGAAGGCATGGAGCCGCGAAGAAGAAGGCGCGAAGAGGCTGGGCGTAGCCAGTCGGCCAGAGGGAACCGCAAGACCTGGGCGGCCGCAGAAGGGCGCGTGGGAGCCGGGCAAGGAGCCGCGGGCGACCAGGAAGGGGCGGGAGGCAGCGAGACCGGGCCCAGGGCCGGCGCACGCATCACAACCGTGGGCAAGGCGGTGCCCAGCCGAAGCGGGGGCAAGGCGCAGGCTCCCAGCAAAGCAGCCGGGAGGCAAAACGAAAGAGCGACGCGGAAGCGGCGTCCCCCCAAGCGGGGGCGGCATCGAGCCACCGAGCAGGTGCCACCAACCGTTGGGCACAGGGGCTAACCTGCCCGGCCATGCCCAGTGCAGCGGCGCGCGCGCCAAACGGGCCGAGACTGATGGAGCCCGAGGCAGGGCGCGCGCAAGGTGAGCGCACGTCCAGCGGGGCGACGGGGGCGCACCACCTGGGTGGATGGCGCGCCCCACCCAAATACCAGAAACACCTAGCCTGCGCACAAAAACCGGCGGTCACGAGCTGGGGTGGAATTTCGCTAGTGCACCTGGGGTGGATGCCGCGCCCGCGGGGCGGTAGCGGCGCGCCACTTGGGGCGGGTGGCGCGCAGAACGAGACGCGCCCACTGGTGCACAGACAGGTGGGTCACCGCCATCAGGCGGGCAGGGACGGAAGGTGCCTCACTTGGGATGGATGACGCGCCAGGGGCGGGGAGGGGCGCTTCGCCTGGGGTGGATGATGTGCCCGCGAGAACGCACGTAACAGGTGTGCGCGCGGGTTGATCACAAGGTGGGGCGCGCCCACAGCAGAGCCAGGCGCACCACCTGGGGTGAGTGGCGCGCCTAGAGGTCGGAATGTGGTGCACCACCTGGTGTGGGAGGCGCGCCGAACGCAACGCACTTAAAAGCGGAAAATGTAGCTACTATTTGAAGGAGCTATTTGCAAAAGAAATCAAGTTTTCCAGTAAAGTGCTGTTGCTCTGTTGCGCAACAATCGCGGCGGCGAATCCGAATTGCCGAACCACGTCCTGCGATCGCGCCCTGAATCCTGATTGCTCGACAAATTCATCGCGGGGTGAACTGGCAGGGAAGACTGGGCCGACCGGGCCCTGCCCCCCGCATCATCATAGCATCCCCAGGGCTCTACGAAGGCAGACCACGGACTTTACTACAGAGAGGAAACGGCTTTCCTAAAGCGAGGAAGCGGCCTTTCTAACGCGAAGAAGCGGTTTTAATATAGCGAGGAAGCGGCTTTAGTAAAGGCGCGCCGCTCATCACATTCCGGAAAACGTTTTACTAAAGCAAACAGAGAGCTGTAGTAAAGCGGAGAGACGGATGGGGTAAAACTGCGCACATACATTCCGTTCTTGCCATCAAATCTGGCGCGGGACTCCAGGAACGAGGGCGGGCGCAAGTTCGCCCGTGGGCCTGGGCCCCGTCGCCGTTGCCGCCGTCGTCGTCACCGTCGGCGCAGACGCCACCGTCGTCGTCGCCGTCGCCGTCGTCGTCGCCGCGACGCCCGCGCATTCGCGTTATTACCAGCGGCGTCCCGTGCGAACTGACACCCTCATGAAGCAATGCTGTATAAGAGGCACAAGCCGCGCGTAGGCAGAAAAGTTCAACAATTGGACGGCGCAAGAGGCAAAGGTGGCGGGGGAGGAGCAGGGGGTCAACCGCAAAAACGGCGCCAGCGGCTGGGCGCGGGTGTGAGAGGGTGACAACGACGGGCTGAACCGAGGGCGACTGAAACAGCCGCAACACGCAGGAAAGAGCCGGCAGAGACAGAAAAGGCGGTGCAAGGAAGAATGGAGAAGAACAGCAGGCGGGCGGCTGGGATGCCCGGCGACGCCAGCCAAGCCGTCCTGCCCTGCAGGTCCACCAGAAGGCCGTACCGGATGAGCAAGAAGCCCAGGGCCAACCACCGAGGGGGCACGGCAGAGACAAGAACGGAGCGGGGGAAGGGGGCAGGAGGCAAAGAAGAAGGGGTGGCTGGGAAGCCTGGCGACACCAGCCGCACCCGTCGGGAAAGACGCGCTGCCCTGCCGCCGCGCAGAGGGCGCAAAAGCCTTGCGGAGAGCGCCCCGCGCAAGGGGCGGCAGCCGTGGGCATGCGGGCAGCCCGGCCCCGGCCTGCGGCTCGGGGTGGGCATGGGCGGCCCGACGTGAGGCCAGGTGGCCCAGCGCATCCGAGAGGCGGTGTGGGAGTGGGAAGCCCTGCCATATGCCGACAAAGAGACGGCGGCAACACACACTTCCCCCAAGGATAGTGGGCCTGTTTTGCACCACCACCACCACCACCACATGTTGGAGGGGAAGGGGGTCCTCCTCCTCCTACACCTCCTCCACCTCCTCCTCCTCCTCTTCGTCGTCCTCCTCCTCCTCCTCCTCCTCCTCCTCCTCCTCCTCGTCGACCTCCTCCTTCCCCCCTCCGACTTATGGTGGTGGTGGTGGTGGAAAGCAGGCCCACCAAAGGACCGCAGCGGCCCGACCCGCGGGGAGGTTGCCCAGCCTGTCGGCCGAGCATGCGGCTCCACGGCTGGGCGGGCGGCGCCGTCGCAAGGGGTGGCGTGGGAGCGGCGGAGGCGGCAGCCGCCACCCGCCACAGGCGGCTCAACCTCTGGCCCCAGGCCCCAGACTCAGGGCTATTCGCATGCCGCCTCCTGGCCACGTCGGCTCACACGCGTGCTCCACGGGGAGCTCCACCTGCAGACCCACAGACGAGGCTCGCATGCCGCCGCCATGCCCACTTCCACACGCCACTCCCACGGGTCGTGCCCCATTTGTACAAGGAGCGCAACCCACGGCCCCTTATGAGCAAGATCTCATGCTGCCGCACCGACCAATTTGGCATCCCCGCACACGGATCACGCCCCACAGGGAGCTCCACCTAGAATCCCACAGACCGCCACCCCGCCCACTTCGGGGCACACCCCTCGCGCGCATCGCGCACCACCGGGAGCTCCGCCTCGCCCCAGTGGGCAAGTTCACACGGCGTCGCCCCGCTCATTGCGGCACACCCCTCGCGTGCATCGTGCCCCGCATGAGCTCCACCTGTGGCACCAGTGGGCAAATTCACACGGCGCCTCCCCGCCCATACACCCCAAGCGGATCGTGCTCATGGGAAGCTCCGACTACGGTTTCAGTGGGCGCGTTCGCGTGGAGGCCTCCGCCCAACTCGGCCCACCCTCACGCGGATCGTGCCCCACAACGAGATCCGCGCGCCTCTGCGCGCGTGCTCCGCAGCCCCCACGTCCGCACTGCCCGCTGCGCCCAGTACATGAAGAGAGGGCCACGCTCTGCGCCAGGCAGCCATATAGGCTTGGGCTCACAGTGCCTCTCGTGGCTTGCCACGCTCAACTTTGCGATGCCCCCCTGCCGCAGACCGCCTCCATTACCAGACAGTGCCTCATCCCTGCTGCACCACAAAGAAGAGCAACTTCTCCCCAGGCGACCGAAATACCCGTGCTGTTCCCGCCGCCTCGGCGCGCGATCGCGAGAGACGGAAATGCTGCCAGTTGCACAGTACGCCACAACCCAGTCTGGCTCATCGAAGCAAGGCCAATACGCGCACCATGAACTCATCAATCCACACTCTCTCTCGAACCGGTCTCTCCCTCATCTTTTCTTTCACGTGTGACCGACGCCCACATACTCCAGAGTTCATGGTAAAGAGCAGGCGGTCTGATTTGAGAGGATCTGGTTTGAGCTGTCTTGGAGGGTTCCTGGGGGTCTGGGCAAAAGGCCGCCCTTTCGTGGCTGGTCTGGGAGGGTCTAAACTTGACCGTCTGGAAGGGTTGAGATCCCCTCCCTTTCTCTATGACATGTGGAAAGCATGCCTCTGTCCTGTGACTGGCATCATCGGCTGTCGTATCGAATCTCCGACTCGAAGTCAGGGGAGCAGGAGGAGCAGACGGCCGAAGAGACGCCGTGCTGTCAACCTTGATTGTGGATCAGATCTATTGCGGCGGGTGGCATCATCAGCATCTCATGATGGCTGTATGGCCACCTCAAGGCGAGCAGGGTTCATAACAACATCCCGCGCAACCCACATTCGTGCAGGGCTTCGGTGTCAGCAACTAGTATACTCATGTTTACGCACCAGCAAGCGCAATTCCAGATCATACATGTATCGCAAATCGCCGTACAAGCTGACCCAAGTGTGTTGCGCATATGTTTGCATCTAGTTACCGGCGCACGCTCATATATGCTCATAATCACGCGCACGCCTGGCATGTGAATGCGATGCTTGTGTATGGCAACTCTGTGTGAGCACGTCCCTCTGTACAGATCTGTACGTCCACGAAGATGTGATCGCACGCATCTGCTGGTAGTTACGTATACTTGCGCACACGCATGCCACGCCCAAGTTTGCTGTATGCGCGGGCACTTTAAGCATGATCGCGTGGCACAGTCCCTCCGCTGCCGCAAAAGCGCCGAAGGCGGTGGAGGCGGGAGAAGAAACGGGAAGGGGACGAGGGACGGAGGGACTGGCAAAGGGTGAGCTGGTTTAGCGGGATTTGGCGGTCTCGGGACCGCCGCGAGGGTCTCGTCCTCGGCGACTGATCTGGCGCCTGGTTTGGGGTGGAGGGCCCAGTGGGGCCCAAATCCAAATTAGTGAGGGGAGGGGGTGGGGGGAGGAGAGAGTGGGGGAGGGGACGCCATGCCCTCAGCATAGCTGAGGTATGTTCCACAGTCGACGCGGAGCAGCCACTGCCCACTCTACCCGCTCAGAGCTGAGGAAGGCAGCGAGCGTGGCATGCCCTGCCTCGAGCCAGCGGAGCTGCGGAGGCGCACTGGTCAGAGGGCCGAGCCTCGAGTCCACCACCAGTTGGCAAAGGTTTGCTGGGAAGAGACAGGGCTGAAGACAGAGGAACAACGAATTGCATAAACATGCGTGTCCAGAGTCCGCGCGGACCTTCACATGTTTATGTTTTTGCCGATGCGGGTTAAATTAATATTACTTGGCAAAAGAGTAAAAGACAGAGAGCTGAAGAGGGATGTAAGGAGCAACTCCCGCAAAGTCTTCGTGGGAACGAGTACAGCTCAAGCCTGATTCAGGGGCCACCAAGCCAAATTAAGCCCAGGATTCAGCTTAGATTTAAGCCACCTTTCGACCACGGCTTTCGACCACGGATGCACCAACGCCGATGCTGCTTTCCACCTCCAACAGACTTCATCCTAACCCCAGCCCCCCGACGTTATGATTTTCCATATCAGGCAGAACATCTTGCAGACACGATACATCTCGTTGCTGACCACCGCTGTCCATGCGTAACACACTCGCATGGATTATGGCATGAATTCCAATAGGATTCCGCTTGGAGTTGTGCCTTTCCAGCGCCCATATCCCATGTGATTTTAGACTGCTTTGCAGTGGGAGAGATCCATACAGAATCCACACAGCAATACATACCAGTTTTGGTTGTTTATGTTCTACGGCTCGCGCCACGGAATCCATGCGCAAATCCACGCCCCATATAGAAACATACATACAGAATCCACTCTGAATCCATACTGCAGAATGCCCTGCCTGATCCATAGCGTGGCCCCCCAGAGGTCTGGACCCCTCCCGGGGGACTGACTTCTCATCCCGAGTCCTTTGCTTCACGGCCCCAGGGCCCAGCAAGGGGCCCCCAGAAGCCAACAACAACGAAAAACCATCCGTCGCTGTTTTTTCCCGACGCGAGGGTGCCTAGCGGGGCCACCGAAGTGTACAAGACAGCGCAGCACACCTGAGGCAATGTCCTGTTCTGCCCTCCACGCACTCTCCCTCCTCCGCCTCGCTCTTCGCATGTTCCGAAGAGAGCTGCCAATCGCGCGCCCTTCTGCCCATGCGTCCCCCTGGATGCTCGGCACAGCGTTGGGGGCGGTGGTCTGGGACGGAAGAGCAGGGCGCGGCAGACCAGAGCGCCGCCTCCTCCTCCTCCGCCGCCCTTGCCGCCACGTCGGCCACCTGCACGGGCGCAGGCGGCCGTCGGTCGGGACCCCTGCCCTCCGGGGTGCGCAGGCTGCTGCCTGCCTCCCCTGCCACATGAACCTCTCCTGGCCGTCCTCCAACGCTTGCACGCCACAACTCCCAACCAACCCTTCAACCCTCGCACACCACCAAGCCTCTCCAACCCTCCGATCCACCCAACCCTCCAAGCCCCCAGCTCGCCCCGCCTGCAACCCACCCAACCCAATCAGCCAAGCCCGGACAGGCCTGGAGAGCCTGGAGAGGCCCAGAAAGGTGGGGAGACGCCCACGATATGCCAGAGAGGCCCAGAAAGGCCGCGAGAGCTGGAGGACCCAGAGAGGCCCAGAGAGCCCTGGAGATCCTGGACCCTCAACCCCTGCCATCTCTCCGACCCTACAACCCGAGAGCCCACCAGCCCTCCAACCATCACAAGCCTCCTAGTACCCTCCAAGCCCTCCAACCCACCCATTCAACTAACCCACCGAACCCAACTAACCCACCTAACCTACCAACCTACAAACATTCCCAACCCACCCAACCCACCCAACCCTCCAACTCATCCAGCCCACCAAACCCTCCAGCAATCCAACCCACCAAACCCATCCAAGCGTTCAACATGTCCAACCCTCCCATCAGTCTTCAACCCTCCCAACCTACCCAATTCTCCAATTCAATCCCGCCCTACATACCTGAGAGGCCCAGAGAGCCACTAGAGAGCCCAGAGCCCAGCGAGCCCTGAGGGCCCATCTGGAGAGCTCGGAGATCCCTATGCCACGTGGGCCTGGAGAATCCTAGAGAGCTGGAGCGAAGAGCCTCGTCCGTCGTCCTGCTCTTGACCTGCCCGTTGAGGTCCGCCCGCCGCCTGCTTTAATGTCCCTCCCGTCCGACGTCTCCCCACCAGACCCGCCAATCAGGGTCCGCCCGCTCGCTGGGATAAAACACCGCCCGCCCGCTCTGACACGCGTGAACTTCCCAATCAGACTCGCTGTGGCAGACTCGCTGTGGTCGGACTCGTCCAGTCTGGCTCGGCCCGATCAAGCTCGGACGCCGCCGAACTCGGACCAATCAAACTCGGACCGGTCAGACACGGGGGGCGCTCTGGCCGCGACGGTGCTGCGGGTGACACCTGGGACGTAGGACTCGGCCAGACGAACTCGAACCAGTCAGACTCGGCCCAGTCGGTAGGTGGCAAGATCCGAACCCTACCCCCCCCAACCATCGATTCTCCTGAACGGATGGGAGGCGGGGGTGGGGTTCGGATTTCGCCACGTGCTGAACGAACTCCGAGCCCTACCGCAGCCGTCCATCGAGTTGCCCGCACCGTCGATTGGCGAGGGTAGGGTTCGGACTTCGCCGCCCGATTGGACACGCCTGGACGGACCGCGCTGGGCGAGCTCGGACCTGTCGAGCTCGCCCGGTGTCTGAGGCAGGGGGGCCCAGCGCCGGCCCAAGAGATGCGCGTGGGCATCCGAGCGTTGTGCTTGTGCCGCTCGTCTGCCCTCGGGGGCGAGGGGGGGAGGGGCGAACAAGCGCCAGTCGTGCGCGCTCTGCCGGGGAGCCCGAAGGCAGCCGCTTCTGAAATGTGCAAACGTCTGCGCACTTCATGTGGTGACGACCACTCGGTACTCCCAGCGGCCAGAACCCACCGTGAACCGCCTGTGCTGTTGTGCACATCCTGCCGCGGCTCGTTCGCTCCCAGACATTAGGGGAACGAATAATGGCATAACACAAAACCTCGGAGGTCCGCGCGGATTTCTCGGATCGGCGCTGGATCCCCCTCCCTGGCGCGCGGAGCGCGCCAAGGGCGGCGCCGGAGGAGCCGCCAGGGGACCAAATCCGCGCGGACCTCCGAGTTTGTACGTTTATGTCATTTTTCGTTCCCCTAGGTCTGTCCCAGAGATCCGATGTCTTGTTCCCAACCCTCCTGTGTTGGGTTCTCGTTTTCATTAAAGCAGTGTGGTCACCCCGTCCTTCCTCCTTCCTCCTCCTCTCTCCCCACCTCCTCCTTCTCTCCTGTTTCCTGTGCTCCCCTCTCCTCTTCTCTCGTGCCGTCGGGCTGCGATCTGCGTAACTGTCGCCACTTTCGTGGGCTCCTGGGAGGCCCAGCGGAAATACGTCATACGCGGATCACCACGGGACCTCGCCGCCCCTGGGGGCTGCGATCTGCGTAACTGTCGCCACTTTCGTGTGCTCCTGGGAGGCCCAGCGGAGGTACGTCATACGCGGATCACCACGGGACCTCGCCGCCCCTGGGGGGCTGTGATCTGCGCAACTGTCGCCACGGGCTCATAGGAGGCCCAGCGGAGGCACGTCATACGCGGATCACCACGGGACCTCGCCGCCCCTGGGGGGCTGCGATCATCTGCGCAATTGTCGCCACTTTCGTGGGCTCCTGGGAGGCCCAGCGGAGGTACGCCATACGCGGATCACCACGGGACCTCGCCGCCCCCTGGGGGGCTGCGATCATCTGCGCAATTGTCGCCACGTTCGTGGGCTCCTGGGAGGCCCAGCGGAAATACGTCATACGCGGATCACCACGGGACCTCGCCGCCCCTGGGGGGCTGCGATCTGCGCAACTGTCGCCACTTTCGTGGGCTCCAGGGAAGCCCAGCTACGTCGGATCACAACGGGACCTCGCCGCTCCTGGGGGCTGCGTGGGCGTGGCTCCTGGGAGGCCCAGCGGAGGTACGTCATACGCGGATCACCACGGGACCTCGCCGCCCCTGGGGGCTGCGATCTGCGCAATTGTCGCCACTTTCGCGGGCTCCTGGGAGGCCCAGCGGAGGTACGTCATAAGCGGATCACCACGGGACCTCGCCGCCCCCTGGGGGGCTGCGATCATCTGCGCAACTGTCGCCACTTTCGTGGGCTCCTGGGAGGCCCAGCGGAGGTACGCCATACGCGGATCACCACGGGACCTCGCCGCCCTTTGGGGGGCTGCGATCTGCGCAGTTGTCGCCACTTTCGTGGGCTCCTGGGAGGCCCAGCGGAGATATGTCATACGCGGATCACCACGGGACTTTTTGCTGCGCTTTTCTGAAATCATTGCTGGGTGCTCTTCTTGCGCATTGCTGGTCCTTCAAAACGCCAGTCAGCATTGAGTGGTCCTGAATATAAGCGCCGCATGTATATAAAGGGTTGGGTACGTCACTGGGTAATTATTTTTCAAGACGGCAAGGCACGGCAAGGCGGTCTGCATGCCAGCTCCGGTGCCGGAGCGGTCCTCTGGAAGGCAATCACAAAATCGAGCGCAGGATCGGCCAAACGCCGCGCGGGCAATCTCTGATTCACCCTGGTAGACAATGTGCGCATCGTGTCACGAACAACAGGAGGGCCCGAGGAGGGCCCGGAAATCTCGCCCCACCCCCAGGGACCGGCTTTTCATCTCATACTGACTCATGTTTTGAAGGCCCCAAGGTCAGCCGAGGGCCTCCAAGAAACCAAAAAAAACTACAAAAAAACTGTCGTCCTCTTTTTGTCAAAGCTTTGGTCCTGGGCTTCTGTGCGAGGCGGGGATTCATCCATCTCCGCCGCCTGGGAACCGACGTCCTGGCGCCCCAGTGGGCGGTGGAGACGGACAGTTTTTGGTTCCCAGAGGCCCGAGTATATCCATATCCACCGCTTGTGGAGGTCCGCGAAGGTCGATCCCCCGGGCGGTGGTCGTGGATAGATCCCCGATTCGGGCTCTGCCCCCCGGGGACGAGGAGCTCTGGTTCCTCAGAGGGGCCGCAGCGCTCGCGGGGTCCACGCGGCGGGTGACCGCTGGGGGGGGCGGGGCACCTGAGTCGCCGCCTTTGCCCTTGGCGCCCTTGCTGTCGCCGCCCTTTCCTCGGGGAGGGGGGCGGGGTCATGGAGGCGGAGACGCAGAAAGATTCGGCCATCGTGCTACCGTCAACCTGTATCAGAAGGACGCACGATGAGGATGCCAGGGGCCTTGCAAGGCCATGTCGACACTTTGCGAGCGGGGCGCAGCCAGCGAAAGCGGCCAAGGATGGGCCGAAGGGGAAAGATGGAAGGGTAGCCTTGGACAGTGGCTCATCCTTACTGTCCGGGTTGACTGTACCCTGAAGAACGCTAGCTTGTCCTCCTCCTTTTCCTCCTCCTCCTCCTCCTCCTCCTCCTCCTCCTCCGCTTCCTGCCCCATCTCCTCCTCTTCCTCCTCCTCCTCCTCTTCCTCCTCCTTCCTCCTCCCGTAGCCATTTTGGCTCAAGATGTTTGCTCCGCAGTGGAACACGTGGATACCGCTAGTCCGCGGCTTGTTTCCGTTGTTCCGCCTGTTCGCCCAGGTCTGGATCGAGGCACCTGAGTGTCTCGACTCTCCTATCGCCTTGACAGGCGAGGGTGAACTGTGGAGTTTCGAGTTCCCGTGTCCGCCAAGGCGGATGCCCTGGACCTGGTCTTCTGCGACGAGGACCCCTCCGTGGCGCAAGCATGAACGGGATGATGATGGTGATCGTTTTCGTCGTGTTCGGCATCGGGATGATCATGGTGGATGGCGCCATCGCAGGCGCAAGCAAGGGCAGTACTACGTGCGCGCGTCCTGCAACCACTGGGAGTACGTCAATCGTGGGAATGACGTCTGCTCGAAGTGCTATGGAGCCTACGTCGATCGAGGTGCTGCTGGTGGTGGACGCGGTGCCCCTGCCGCCCCTGCTGCACCAGCGCCTGATCCCCACGCTGAGCATCTGCGTGCCGCCGCGGCCACTCTGTTGGCGGCGCGTCCTGTTTTTCAAGGTTCCCTCGGCGACCTGGTGGCGCCGCCTGCGCCCCCTGCGGTGGTCCTCACCCCTTCGCAGCTCGACGCTGCGGCGCACATCGATCGGACCCGCCTGGCCAAGGTGGTGGAGGATGCGGCCCGACAAGTTCGGCTGGCGTGTCACGAGGTCGAGCAGAAGCGTACCAAAACCCAGAAGATCCGTGAGCAGCTCGAGGAGGCTCGCGAGGCCCTGCGCGCTGCTGAGGAGGCGCAGCGCGGCGCCCAGCAGGCCCAACGCGACGCTGACCTGGCCGCGCAGCCCTCCGACCCTGAGGTTTGGAAGGGGGCCAAGGCAGCGGAGGCGCGTGAGGCCGAGGCTGAGCGCCTGCGCCAGCAGCGGGCCGCGCCTCCCGCCGTTGCCGCCGCGGCGCGCGCGGCCGCCGAGCCCGCTGGACTTGCTCGTGCTGCCGGTGATGCTGGCCAAGCGCCCACGGTGGTGGAGCCGCCCGGCTTCGCCACCAAGTCGGCGGACGCGCTCGCGGCCTGGGCGCGTGAGCTCCACGCGCCTGCAGGACTGTGGGAGGCGTTCGTGGCCATGCGCGCCACCATCCAGAGTGCTGAAGACGATGCTGGTAGCGATGTTGGCAGTGACGCGGGCGGCAGTGATGGAGGAGCTGGCGACGATGAGCTGCGCGCCCATCGGAAGCGCGGGCAGGAGCAGATCCTAACTGCGGAGGACCAGCAGCGAATGGTGATCCCCATCATGGCCCGCGACAAGAAACGCACTGCCAAGCGCCTGCGCACGACCAAGGCGCAGAACAACGAGCACTTCATTGAACTTCTCAAGCAGGCTGTTTCTGTCCCAGTGCCAGGAGGGCCTTCTCTTTAGCATGATGTGGCGGGCCGGGCGTCTGGAGCTCAAGTGCGCGCGCGCGCGCGAGGCGCGCCTCAGGCACCCCTGTTGCTGCACCCCTGTCGGGGCTTCGAGGCTCAAGAGGGAGCGTCGTGGAGGAAGTGGCAGTCACGGGGCCCGTGGGCCCCGCGAGTGCCGCGGGCCCCCGTTCGGGGGCTGCTGTCGGCACGAGGAGTGGGAATCGCGCCGCCGCCTCGGGCAGCGCGGGCGGGGTCCGCCGCCGCGGGGGGGCGGTGGGGGAGGAGCTCGGCGAGTGCCCCGAGGCCGCCCCCCCCCCCCCCCCTTCCCCAGGCAAACGCGCGCGCGCGGCCTGCCCCCCGCTCGCCGAGAAGATGCTGATGAGAAGCATCCTGGTGTTCAGTTCGTGTACTGCAACATCACTTCCTGGTCGAAGGTCGATCAAGACTTTGCTGCTGGCCTCCTGGGCCGCTCCGATGCCTTCCTCTTTTGTGAACACCGCCTGCAGCAGAGTGCGTTGCCTCGTGCCAAGAGAGAGGTCGCCGCGATGGGCTGGAGGCCGCATATGCAGGCGGGCGCCGCAACTGGGGGCGGCGGGGCGCACGGGGGCGTCGGGATCGCGGTCAGCAAGAGTTTGTATTTTAAGCGCTTCCTGGTCGATATGGGCAACGTTACCGATATTGGCACGGGTCCAGGATGGATGTTTATTTTGAGCGGGAATCCCAGAAAACTGCGACGGCTGCCAGTTTGCCTCGTGCCCGGGAGTCGCGGGGGAAAACCTGTCCGACTTGCGGGGTATCGCCGAGTTCGTTCGTGTTCTTGGGATTCCTTCGATGCTGGTCGGGGATTGCAATATTGATGTGGAAACGGTGTGGCTCTCCGGGGATCCCCAATCTGCACGTGCTCGGGCGATGGCACCAGTGGGAGTGCACTGCACATGCTGCCAGGGGTCCGACACCATGATTGACTATGCGTTAGTTTCCCCAGATCTGACTCCCCATGTGCAAGTTGCAGTCTATGGGCCTCACCATTCAAAACACACGGGTGTCTGTCAGTCCATATTGCTCACCATGTCTTGGTTCAGAAATTATGTCGGCGAGTGCGTCCACGTGACATTCCAGCCTGCTACGGGCCTGACCTTCCGCGGCGGCGTTACCTTTTTTTCCAGGGGATGACTTCTGGCGGCGCAGGGGCGAAGACGGAGTGCCCTGTGCAGTTGGCGCGCCCCATTCCTCAAGCGACGGCGCACTTGGATGAACAGGCTTCTGCGCAGTGTTCCCTGCGGTCTCGTGCCGCTGAGCGCGCGTTCCTCTCTCGCGCTTGCGCTGCTACCGATGACGACGATGAGAGTCAGCATGGAGGGGGAGGTGCTGCACTACACCTGGTCACGCCCACCACCGCTCATAGGGGGAGAATGGGAACAGCCCATCGGGATCCGACTCTTGCGTTCTGGCCGCGTTTCTCCGCCAAGCTGCTTGGGCATCGCGCCTTGCTCCGACGAGGCCCCACCGAGTGCCGGGTCCACGGCCTGATCATGGAGATGGTCTCGCGGGTTGGCGAGTTCTCCTACGTCTTGCCTGCTGCTCAGCCTGTCCCCCGGTGGGCCGATCGAGTCGCCCATCGGGCGCTAGCTGACACCGAGATGGTGGATCGCCTTGTTGAGATCACCACTGAGGTTTTGAAGCGCGCCTGGGCTGAAACGAAGGCGGCCGCCCAGAAGGGCTCGGGCTTGAAGGGCTGGCTAATCCGCGCCATCCCCCATGGGGCTCGACGGGGCCCACTCATGGCTTAAGCGCGACAATCTGAACACGGTTGAGTTTGTCAAGCCCCCCGAAGGTGTGAACAGTTAGTTGCCCATGGAAATGTCGGGCCATTGAGCTCAGCTGTGGGGGGGGGCATTTGGCAGGTTTCGCCTGAAGACATAACGAGGTTGGGGGTCCCCATGTCTGACCTCCGCGGCGTTGTTTTGGAGGCTGCTCAGACCCCCCCCCCCCCCCCATCAGGGCCCAGGACATTCAGATGTGCAAGGTTTTCTCTGCCACTACCGCTGTGGGAGTTGACGGGTGGAAGCCTCGCGCGGTCGCTGAACATCCATCCGACGCGCCCGATGCCCTGGCGCCTCGATATTCGCTGTGCGAAGAACGAAAGGTCTGGCCTGAGCAGATCCTCCTCGGGCTCATTGCGCTGCCCCCCAAGTCCCAAGTCGATGAGCGACCTATCTGCACGTGCCCCACCCTCTACCGTCTGTATACTAAGATCAGGGGGGCGGACGTTGATCGGTGGACTACGGAACACGTTGCCTTCTGGGGCACGGCGGCCAGGGGATCGTCTGCCTTGGATGCCACGTTGGTTCGTGAGCTCTACCATGAATGCGCGGCCCATGAGGGCGCGGTGTCTGTCGCGCCCCATTGGGACCTGAAGAAGTTGTTCGGTCCTGTCTGCCCGCGGTTGCTTATCCGACTGGTCCTTAAGGCTCACTACCCCCACGCCTGTTGTACCTGGGTGCGTTGATCCCCGCGCCCCCGCGCATGTTGGAAGTCGGTGGCAGTGCGGCGCGCACGTTGCAAGCGGGTCGCGGGGTCCTGCCTAAATGTTCCCAAGGCATGTCCTGGGTGAAGATGTACGTGCGTGGGGCCCCTTAAGGCCTGTTTGTATCAAATGAACGGCGAGCTCTCTAGGGCGTCGACCAGGGCCCAAGTCGACGACATTGCCCCGGACATCGCTGGCCAGGAGCAGGAGCCCCAGGCGCACTTGCTGCCAGCTGCCGTTCGTTTTGCCCACGAGATTGAGCGCCTTGGCCCGACGCTGAGCGCAAAGAGCGCTCTTGTGTGTTCCTCCCAGGCGGTGGGGGCTCAACTCGCTTCTAGCCTCCAGGCTACGGGCCGTCCAATAAGTAGCCCGCTGCATACTCGGGGGTTGGGTTCCTGCGCAACGGCTGGAAGCGGGCGGAGGGCCCCGTAGATCAAACGGCGGAGGCTCGACGCGCGGCGACGCGCTGGCAAGGTTGCGACGTTGTCGCGAATTTACACGAAGGCGCCCAAGCTTTTCGAACCTGGCGCGCTGTCGGTCGGGACCCGGGGCCACCGGCTGGCGGGCGCGCCCCCCCTCCGGCTGCAAGCTGCGAGGGGCCAAGCGGCTGGGTGCCGTGGGCGGTGGGCACCAGGCTCCTGTTCCACTAATGCCTTGGCGCTGGTGTCTAGTAGATGGGTCGACCCCGTGTTCCGCATGCGGCATGACCAGTTGTTTCGCCTTGCCGACCTG